CTAAAACAAGCTGGGTTTTAAGGTAAGTGGCATAGAAATCAAAATCAGAGGGCACATAGATGTCAATTCGTGGCGTGTTTTTCCCAAAATGCACCTTGATTTTCTTCCCCGTCTCCACCCTTTTCTTCTGACAAAGGATTCAAGGATTCATTCAATAAGGAGAACTACAGTGCATGCTGTGGAGATATTTTACGTGTCCAGAAAGAATATGCTGTCATTTTGATTAATCCATGTCTATAATGAACACTCTCTGCTTGAAGAAAACATTCAACCTCCCTACCAGCGACAACAAATTAAAGTCAGCTTCCTGCAATGCGGAAGAAAACCAAGGGGGATGTTGATGGCAGGGAAATTATACCTCTACTTAATGGTATGTCACGCCCACTAAAGTGACTACCAGAGGAGAGATGGTTAAGGAATATGCCCTTTGAACCTTTTACTCAATGCACATGGGACGAGACACAAAAGACTAAAACCACCGGAGGAACCTTCCACTAATAGGACCAGACACATGCATTTATTCCCCATGAACATCCCCAAAATCAAACTGAATCAATCAACCATTTTCAGTCACATTGCATTTTATGTGCTCTTTGTGCAAAAAAATCTAACCAAAGTGTTATGGGAGACATGACAAAGGAAACGTTGACATAAACCCATCAGCCCTGAAGAGAAAATGTTATAGAAAAACTCTGTCATTATATGTAGCCTACATTTATCTTGATTATGTATAGTACCTCTAGATACCGAAAAGCTTTTGACACTTTAGGATGTCTAAAGATAGAAGTTTCATTTTGCCATGAAAGGGAAGACATATCAACAAAACATCTGAAAGCAAACATCAATACACCCACATGATGAATTCATACAAAGCAACAGCTTCATATCTATCCCTTTTTCCATCACCCCAGTACATCCTTGTTTTCCAGCTCAGCAGGAGAGAGGCTGCCTGGCGCAGTCCTTCCTTTGTTTCCTTCCCTCTCTTTCTCTCTCTCCCTCCTGACTCTGTGAAGTTCATCCACCTCTGTGTTGTGCAAACTCCTCTCCTGCGATTGTGATTGATTCACTGTGACCTGACTGACACTAAGAGCCCAACAGTGTCTTTCCTGATTACCAGAAACTACAGATCTCCAAGAAGGAGGAAAAACAAAAGTAACCTTCTTAATAAACGCACATTTCCCCCAGAAAGCCTCTAAGGGATTTGAAAATCCTCATTCAGTGAAGTGGATATATTCACACCATCAGAACGAAGAGAGGAGGATGTATCCTACAGGGATTTCTATCATCTCTCCCAGACCTTGATACCAGGTTTAAGATGAAGCTGCTGTTCACTTCCTTTATCCAAGCTGTTCTACTGTAGATTTGTGATTAGATTAAAGTGCCCAGCAGTGAAGATATGAGCCAACTCCACAGCTCTGAGAGGAGAAGCAATGTTCCACAAGACTACACCTTCATTACTCAAAAATAAATCTCCATTACACAAATGCTGTATGCATAATTATAAAAATAATTATAATTGTGATTGTTTTCTCCGTGAGCTGAACTTCTTTAAATTGTGATTGACACATAGTGGCTGTGAAAGACTACCACAGGAGCATGTGAATAAATAAATCTAGTCACATACACTCACACACATTGAATATCCTTTAGAAATGTGTTTCAGCATGATGGCAAACAGTAGAATAAAGAGACAAAACAATGTGATTTAAGCATGGATGGTGAAAAACATACCACCGCTCATTCATAATCATATGGAACAATATGAATACATTTGGGGATAGAGGAAACTCAAAGACAGAAATAATTATATTTCCTTGCTTTTGAAGAGCACATTTTCACATAAGGACCTATGTAAAATAAACATCATTTTCTAACACAGTACTTAATAATAACCAAGATAAAATCTATAGCATGTTGTTTGAGCATACAGATGTATAGGCTAAAATAACCCCAGTTCTGGGTGGAGGAAGCGGAGGGTAGCAGGACTTTGATATGGGTCACCTACATCAACAAGACACTGAACTCAGACCCCCTCCCACTGTGAGCCAGCACGCCTCAAATTAATCAAACTACATCATAAAAATGAGGGACGAGGGAACACAAACAAAACCCCAAACCAACCCACAGTGTAAATGGGGCGGGGAGCTGGCCAATCCCTTAAAAAGGACCCAATTACCACCAAGCCCTTGATGTGTCCCATAGCACAGCAGTGCAGTCCCGCTGGCACGGAATAGGAGAGGTATCCTCGTACAGACGGAGAGTCCATTACCCGTCTGGGCCTGGACCACTTGATGTGCACCTTTCATCTCCAAAGCCGTCTCCCATGGAAACAATAACCAGCCTATATACAGCATCCTTTCATCTCCAAAGCCATCTCCCATGGAAACAATGACCAGCCTATATCCAGCCTCCCTCCCTGGGCCTTTTGAACACACCAGGAGGGGGCAGCATACGGTCATGAATGAACAGGTGACATGGGGTGAGCTCTGCATGTTATTCATGCATGGTCCTCACACCCATAGAGAATGATAGAGGCCTCTAGTGGCCAAAAGGCTGTATTAGCATGAGCAGCACCACTGAGGGCTTCCAACATTTTAATGTAGTCAAGTGGGTGGGACTTCCAACTTCATTGGCTGATCCCTCCTGGTGACCCATTGGAGTCATGTCCAACCGGGTCATCAGGAGGGATCAGCCATTCGTGAAGAAGAAAATGGAGAGAGCCTCAATGGCGCTGACCATGCCGTCACAGATACAAAGATGAGGCCTCTATCCATCTCTACGCTTGTGTCTCTCACAATACATATGGTAAAACCAATGTCAGCAGGTTTTCATACATTATGCAAAGGACTAGACAGACTGCCTGGCCTGGCTTCTCTTCCATTTTAATGGGATTGCCAGGAATGTCAGATAAAAACCATTGATTGAAAATGGAGGATTTCTGTGGTTCTACCACCGGTTACGAAAGGAGACATAATTTACAGACAGATCTAATCCACAACTGCTCTTTGGAATACAATCTCTCCAATCCACATATGTGGCTTCACTAATTCACATCACACCAAAACCATGCAAATTGTGCCAAAATATATGCAACACCAAAAATAAGATATGTTCACATTTATTTATTGTGCAGGGACTTTTATATACAGATACATTGTATACACCTAAATTACATAAATTGTGAAATAAATGTATCAGCTAGTGTTCCAATATTCATCTTGTTTTTAATGTTGACCTTGGAAGTACTAACATAACAGAATTAGACAAAGGAGCACAATGAAAAGTGAACAGGAGTTACTGTATAGTATTAAACAATCCAGTCTAATTTCAGATAGTGTTTCTATATTTTACATGTTTCATTTTGTTATAGGTCAAATAACTATTGCACTAAATACTTCTGACAAACACATTTCATTTGTTTTTCAAACATAAAAAACACAACTATTATCTGACTTGTGTTCTCTAATACAATCAATCAATCAATAATCAATCAGTAATGAGCAAATGTGCAACTGCTCCTCAGTAGCGTATGCAAACAATAGAACATACATTACTTAGTGTCCAGGGCCCATAGCAGAGCAAAAAGTGGAAGAAAAAATAAAGAAAGAAAAAAAACATACAAAAAAAAGAAAATCTATAAAATCATAAATGTAAACCATTGGTGTCATCCTCTCAATGTTATCCCTGTCCCAGGGCAGTGACTAAGGGAGACAGATACTGACCTGCTCTCAGCTACTCAGTGGAAAGGATCTGACAGGGACAACTAATCTACTACTAGCTAGCTTATATATTGATAGACACGGATACAGGCTAGTGACATGCTTTACAAACACTAAACAACAGGTACAGAATACAGCCCCCCCCCCCCCTTTACCATACAGTAGCACACATCTAGTATGTTACAATAACTAAGAGTTCAGCACTAAACCGCCGCAGGAAGATATTACCCTTGTTATTCCTCTAAGCTATTAAAACATGCAGTGTGTGGTGTGGTGAGGTCCTACAGTACTATTTAGTGGTGGTGGGAACCAGCTGCAGTTGACTGACTCAGATGGAAAACCTACGCCTTGAGATGTTGTATTTTCTAGGTTACTTTTCCATGACCAGAAGTCTATTTTCACCATCGCCTCTTTTTGTTGGCCAAGCCCTAGTCAGCTATAGCCAGGCCCCTACATGAAAGAAACCACAGTACAGTGTGTGCTGCTATATAAACATATGGAAGCCTGGCAAGCCATTCTACCACCACCACATACAGGAACGTCTGATTATTGCACACAAGCACTGAACTTGCAAACGTTCATGCAAATGTATGGGAAACGCAACTACAGTACACTCCGAAATCACTGGTTGTTCACTAGGACGTGACACATGATTATACACTTCTTTAATGGAAGACTAAAACCCACTGGTTGCAGTGGGGAACATAAAGCTCTCTAGGTGACACTGTCCTTGGGCTCTTTGATGGCTAGTGTAAAACACCTCCGTTGGACAGGAGGAGAGAGGCTGAGGAGTGTACAGGGTAATGACATGGTAGAAAACAAACATCATGAGACTCTACTATACTAGCTTCTCGACAGTGATTGCATGACCTTCTTTAGACACCAGTATAAAACATAGGTGTTGTTCCTGTTTGGGGAGGAGCATAGCCCCATGACGAAACCATCATTGCACTGTGGGGAATCTTCCTAAATATGCCCTAACTTCCTACTGTGAAGAAACCTGTAGTTACATCCCATCATACGAACACTTCCTGCCAGACATGGTTTCTGCTAAAACACTAAAATAGTGACAAACAGATTCAATCCCAGCAACAGAACAAACAGATTCAATCCCAGCAACAGAACAAACAGATTAAATCCCAGCAACAGAACAAACAGATTCAATCCCAGCAACAGAACAAACAATAGGCTGTTGTCAAGGCTCATTCAGTTTGAGTACAAAGCAAACGGAAAGTTATACAGCAGATGTATAGAAAAACACACTTTGCAATCACTAGTAAGTAAGCATTTCCTCAGTTACATATAATGCCATGCACTAATGACAGGACAAGTGGACTATCTCTAAGGAAGGCCAGAAACGAGTGTAAGGCCGAAAGAAAGGGAGAAAGAGGGAAGAGTGGAGGAGTGAGCTGGAGCTGCTGGTATGGGTTAGTGTTGGTGAGGAGTAGATCTTCTCTCTTCTACTCAGAGGGACTGGGATCCTGACCTGTACTGCTTGAAGCTTCCCAGCAGACTCTGGACCCCCATCCTGACCCGGCGGGCCACGGAGTCAGCAGGGGGAGTGGGCAGACAGGAGCCCAGGCTGGGAGGTCTCGCGTCCAGACACTTCTGGTAGCGCAGCTGTGGACAGGACACAGACATACAGCAGGACTACATCAGTACAGATACCAAAATGCATCAATACAATTCAAGGAAACAATAAACAGGCCTTAATGAAATTTTCTATATTATAGACAACATATCAAAACCCCAGCGCGTCTCTCTAGACCACTGATTAATCAATAATGGAGTCCACTGTCCAGTCGGGTGACTCACCATGCAGGCGGCCTGCACCGCCTCACTCAGGCTGGCAGCATTGGGCTCACACCAGAACATGTGACAGATGAAGTCCCCGGGGCCCTCGGCCATGATGAAGGCAAAGGTGTGGACATCCTTCCCCACGCCCATGAAGGACAGGAACCGCACCCGGCACTCTGACAACACGTCCTCAGTCTGGGGAGGACAGGGGGACACACAGCACAGTCAGGAGAGAGAGCCATACTCACATGACTTCTACTAACTGTCTGTGTGTAACTGAGATGATGTTGTGGATGGGTTAGTTAGTAACTACCTCTCTGGTGAGGATGGTGAGAGTGGCAGGGGCCACGTTGACAGAGACGGGGGTCCAATCCTGCTTCCTTGTGCTGTTCATTGCAGCCTCCAAAGCATCATTGACTGTGTCCACACCTAGGAGACGAGACAGTTATACTGTTAACAGTATCCACAAGGCAAGGTAAACTGCATGGTAGTAGCTAGCTAGCCATGTACGCAGCGAAGCGCAAAACAGTCCCGCACAAAGCACAGCCAGATGTTTTACTGCACAGCTAAATAAACACTACATGACCAAAAGTATGTGGACACCTGCTCGTCGAACATCTCATTCCAAAATCATGGGCATTAATATGGAGTTGGTCCCCCCCTTTGCTGCTATAACAGCCTCCACTCTTCTGGGAAGGCTTTCAACTAGATGTTGGAACATTGCTGCGGGGACATGCTTCCATTCAGCCACAAGAGCATTAGTAAGGTCGGGCACTGATGTTGGGCGATTAGGCCCGGCTCGCAGTCAGTGTTCCAATTCATACCAAAGGTGTTCGATGGGGTTGATGTCAGGTCTCTGTGCAGGCCAGTCAAGTTCTTCCACTGCGACCTCGACAAACCATTTCTGTATGGACCTTGTTTTTTGTGCACTGGGGCATTGTCATGTTGAAACAGGGAAGGGCCTTCCCCAAACTGTTGCCACAAAGTTTGAAGCACAGAATCGTCTAGAATGTCATTGTATGCTGTAGCGTTAAGATTTCCCTTCACTGGAACTAAGGGGCCTAGCCCGAACCATTAAAAACAGCCCTAGACCATTATTCCTCCTCCACCAAACTTTACAGTTGGCACTATGCATTCGGGCAGGTAGCGTTCTCCTGGCCACGCGGACTATTTACATTGACCCCCCCCCTTTGTTTTTACACTGCTGCTAATCACTGTTTATTATCTATGCATAGTCACTTTACCCCTACCTACATGTACAAATTACCTCAACTAAACTGTACCTACGCACATTGACTCGGTACCGGTACCCCCTGTATATAGCCTCGGTATTGTTATTTTATTGTGTAACTTTTTTGGGTGGGGTAAATATTTTCTTAACTCTATTTCTTAAACTGCATTGTTGGTTAAGGGCTTGTAAGTAAGCATTTCACGGTATTCGGCGCATGTGACAAATCAAATTTGATTTGATCCACCAAACCCAGATTCGTCCGTCGGACTGCCAGATGTTGAAGTGTGATTCATCACTCCTGAGAATGCGTTTCCACTGCTCCAGAGTCCAATGGCGACAAACTTTATACTACTCCAGCCGACACTTGACATCGCGATCTTAGGCTTGTGTGCGGCTACTTGGCCATGGAAACCCATTTCATGAAGCTCCCAACTAACAGTTCTTGTGCTGACGTTGCTTCCAGAGGCAGTTTGGAACTCGGTAGTGAGTGTTGCAACCGAGGACAGACGACTTGTACGCGCTACAGCACTCGGCAGCCCCGTTCTGTGAGCTTGTGTGGCCTACCACTTCGCGGCTGAGCTCCTAGACTTTTTCACAGCAATTACAGTTGACCGGGGCAGCTCTAGAAGGGCAGAAATTTGACAAAGTGACTTGTTGGAAAGCTAGCATCCTATGACGGTGCCACGTTGAAAGTCACTGAGCTCTTCAGTAAGGCCATTCTACTGCCAATGTTTGTCTATGGGGATTGCATGGCTGTGTGCTCGATTTTATACACCTGTCAGCAACGAGTGTGGCTGAAATAGCCAAATCCACTAATTTGAAGAGGTGTCCACATACTTGTGTATATATAGTGTATTTACCTAACTACTAAGTCAATAAAATATTTCCTTACCCATGCGTCCCTTACCTAGAGGCTTGGCCACAGGTACGTTACCAAGGTAATACACAAGAAAATGTTGGAAATTTTCATTTTTTGGAACCGGAAACTCTGCAGAGGAAGAAAATGGGTATGGAGTTAGTGTCTGGTGTCTAACGTTTGTTATCAAATGAACTCTAGAACTATCACTGGGGTTACCTTGAGCAGGAATCTCCATGGGTTTGCACTGGTCATAATTGTACCTGCTAAGAAATGGCTTGGATAGCTTCCTCTCTGTCATTATCTGAATGTAGAGAGAGAGGGAAAGATATGTTCAGGTCATCGTGAACTGAGTCATTCCAGAGGAAATAGTACATTAGATATGTGCCATAGGAAACATGGGAGCCTCACCCTGGAGCACATCTCATGGGAAACATGGGATTACATGGGAAACATGGGAGCCTCACCCTAGAGCACATCTCATGGGAAACATGGGATTACATGGGAAACATGGGAGCCTCACCCTGGAGAACATCTCATGGGAAACATGGGATTACATGGGAGCCTCACCCTAGAGCACATCTCATGGGAAACATGGGATTACATGGGAAACATGGGAGCCTCACCCTGGAGCACATCTCATGGGAAACATGGGATTACATGGGAAACATGGGAGCCTCACCCTAGAGCACATCTCATGGGAAACATGGGATTACATGGGAAACATGGGAGCCTCACCCTGGAGCACATCTCATGCAGACTGGTGGCGATGTTCTTGGCAGGTGAGTCACAGCGGAACACATGACACTTGAGGACCTGGGTCAGGTTGTCTCGCGCTACATAAGCAAAGTCTCTGTTGTAACAAATAGAGAAAAGTAACACCATTTACATACTGTTACATGAACCCATGCATTTCTCTAACTTTAATGATAACAACCCACAAGAAGAAATGGCAACAAAAAAAAATATATTGCATGCAATCATGTTAGATATGACAATACAATCAATTAAACTATAAACACCATGGGACATGAAAGTATAAAGATGAAGAAATGCAAATAATCATATCTGTACAATACCTTTCCCTGTATAGGGCAGCATGAAAATAAATAATGATCAGTTAATCACAGTTATTACAAAAACACTAGTAGAAAATGAAAATCTGATTTGTAGTGAATGTCAGTGCCTTGAAAGGAAATGCTATTGCAATACCATGGACAACCCACAGTTGTGTTATTGAAATACCATGACAACCCACCAGAGGGCAGTAGTGTCTCAGGGTTGCAGTTCTGTATTTGAGCATGTCATTGCCAAGTGGGTTTGTAAGGAATGTAAGGCCTATGTTGGCGATCATAGGCTGCATTTACAAAGACAGAACAATTCTGACCTTTTTTTCCCCACAAATCCGTCTTTTGACTAATCAGTTCAGCTCTAAAATGATCTCATGTGATTGGTCAAAAGAGCAATTCGTGGAAAAAAGATCAGAATTGGGCAGCCTGTGTAAACACAGCCTTAATGACTCACACAGTCTTTAGAAATGGGCAAATAACTGCTCTGTGCAAATTCAGTAGGAAAACAGACCACATCCAGAGGTCTAGGATGGGGAAACTCTACCCCAAGGCATGAAGATTAAGATGTTTTAGTAACACTTATAGCAGCAATATGTAACTTTTTGGGGGGACCCGACCAAATTCACATAGAAATGAGTTATAGAGTGAGGGAAAAAAGTATTTGATCCCCTGCTGATTTTGTACGTTTGCCCACTGACAAAGAAATGATCAGTCTATAATTTTGATGGTAGGTTTATTTGAACAGTGAGACAGAATAACAACAACAAAATCCAGAAAAACACATGTCAAAAATGTTATAAATTGATTTGCATTTTAATGAGGGAAATAAGTATTTGACCCCCTCTCAATCAGAAAGATTTCTGGCTCCCAGGTGTCTTTTATACAGGTAACGAGCTGAGATTAGGAGCACACTCTTAAAGGGAGTGCTCCTAATCTCAGCTTGTTACCTGTATAAAAGACACCTGTCCACAGAAGCAATCAATCAATCAGATTCCAAACTCTCCACCATGGCCAAGACCAAAGAGCTCTCCAAGGATGTCAGGGACAAGATTGTAGATCTACAAAAGGCTGGAATGGGCTACAAGACCATTGCAAAGCAGCTTGGTGAGAAGGTGACAACAGTTGGTGCGATTATTCGTAAATGGAAGAAACACAAAAGAACTGTGAATCTCCCTCGGCCTGGGGCTCCATGCAAGATCTCACCTCGTGGAGTTGCAATGATCATGAGAACGGTGAGGAATCAGCCCAGAACTACACGGGAGGATCTTGTCAATGATCTCAAGGCAGCTGGGACCATAGTCACCAAGAAAACAATTGGTAACACATTATGCCGTGAAGGACTGAAATCCTGCAGCACCCGCAAGATCCCCCTGCTCAAGAAAGCACATATACATGCCTGTCTGAAGTTTGCCAATGAACATCTGAATGATTCAGAGGAGAACTGGGTGAAAGTGTTGTGGTCAGATGAGACCAAAATGGAGCTCTTTGGCATCAACTCAACTCGCCATGTTTAGAGGAGGCGGAATGCTGCCTATGACCCCAAGAACACCATCCCCACCATCAAACATGGAGGTGGAAACATTATGCTTTGGGGGTGTTTTTCTGATAAGGGGACAGGACAACTTCACTGCATCAAAGGGACAATGGACGGGGCCATGTACCATCAAATCTTGGGTGAGAACCTCCTTCCCTCGTGGATAGGTATTCCAGCATGACAATGACCCAAAACACACGGCCAAGGCAACAAAGGAGTGGCTCAAGAAGAAGCACATTAAGGTCCTGGAGTGGCCTAGCCAGTCTCCAGACCTTAATCCCATAGAAAATCTGTGGAGGGAGCTGAAGGTTTGAGTTGCAAAACGTCAGCCTCGAAACCTTAATGACTTGGAGAAGATCTGCAAAGAGGAGTGGGACAAAATCCCTCCTGAGATGTGTGCAAACCTGGTGGCCAACTACAAGAAACGTCTGACCTCTGTGATTGCCAACAAGGGTTTTGCCACCAAGTACTAAGTCATGTTTTGCAGAGGGGTCAAATACTTATTTCCCTCATTAAAATGAAAATCAATTTATTACATTTTTGACATGCGTTTTTCTGGATTTTTTTGTTGTTATTCTGTCTCTCACTGTTCAAATAAACCTACCACTAAAATTATAGACTGATCCTTTCTTTGTCAGTGGGCAAACGTACAAAATCAGCAGGGGATGAAATACTTTTTTTCCCCTCACTGTAGATATGTCATTCTCATTGAAAGCCAGTCTAAGAAGTGGCAGATCTGTTCTATGTACGCTATTTCTATGCTTCGTTTTCCGGTTTTGCACACCAGTTTCAAAAAGCTGAAAATACAATATTTGTAGTTATGGAAATGTTATTTCACTGCGGTTTAGATGGTACATGATTCTCTACACTATACATGCTTGTTTTGTCACAAACTGAAATTAGGCAAACTATTAGAATTTTATCAACCAGGAAATGGCAGAGCGATTTCTGCATAGTGCAACTAAGAAAATGGAACAAATTACCAGTGCCTAATATCTCTTAATTAGGTATGGATGGTCATGATTAAGTAATAGTTAGGTGACTGCTAAGATTAGATAGACAATTTACTAAATAAACACTACATAAAATAGTACAAATACTAAAGAGTTAAACAGCATTTTCTATTCCTGTAAAAGTAGCTACACCACTTAATCTGACTGCCACAGCAGTGCTTTCCAACCTCTAGATGTGGTGCCAAACAGCGTCTGGTTGTTCTAGTGGACACTGACCTGCCATTGTCTCGGCCCACGCCCCACACGCGGATGCTGGCGATGGGCTGGGAGTGCAGCAGAGTCTGTCCCAGTGGGTCGATCAGATTCATAGTGTCATTCTCCAGGACCATCAGCATGTCCTTACCCTGGTAACACAACACAAACATATCATTATCCTCCTGAAGCACCACCATGCACAGGAAATTGAATGGCTTAGCGATCAACCAAATTACATTTGAATGTGCCCATCTGTGCTACAACTGATAATATTCTAGCAAACACCTGTTAGACTTGATCCTGTTTTAGATTAAGAGACATTCCCAAGCAGTGGTCCATATGGACGATTATAATTACTCCGATGTTCAACATTATTCAACACAGAGCAGCTGCAGGGAATAGCAGTAAATGTGAGAAGTAATTATTATAATTACTAAATAAAAGACTAAGCAAGGCAGAGGGTCTCACCCAGACATGAATCCTATCCCTCTTCCCCCAGACAGGAAGAGCCCACCCCAGTCCCTTCCTGTAGTCCTGGTCCCCAGACTCACCTCTCCCCAGATGCCAGCAGTGTCATGGAGGTTGTGTTTGTGGTAGGACAGCTGTCTGATGCAGTTGTTGACAGCCACGCTGCTCTTCCCCGCTGCCATGTCCGCTTCAGACATGTCCACCCAGCCCAGAGAACGCACAGCAAAATACTGCCATAGCAAATAGAGGCCGAAGAGAACACAGGATGGGCCGGAGAGAGATAAACCGACAGTTCAATTAGGAAAGGGAAGAGCCCCGTGTAGCTCAGTTGGTAGAGCATGGCGTTTGCAACGCCAGTGTTGTGGGTTTCGATTCCCACGGGGGGCCAGTATGAAAAATGTATGCACTCACTAACTAAATCGCTCTGGATAAAAGTGTCTGCTAAATGACTAAAATGTAAATGAGTAGTTGTATGTTGACAGGGAAGGGACAGACAGATGACTACAGTCTTCCTGCCTCAGCGCTTTAGTGAGAGTAAATGTAAGTGAATTTGAATGTACCTTAGCCTCCAGGTCAGTGCCATGGGGATCAAGTTTCTCCTCTTCCTCAGATTGGGAACAGCTATAAGACAGTTATTATACAGCTATAAGACAGTTATAATTTGAGAAAGAGAAAGAGGGGAGGGTTTAAGAAAGACTGTTTTGGCTGAGAATGAGATAGTACGTTATGTGATAATGACTTACTTCAGGTTGATGGACGCATAGCGCAGGGTTGCCCCTTCAAACTCCTTCAGGCTCTGATCAGATGCCACCTCTCCCTCCTGCAATCACCAAGACGACAAAGAATGAGTTGATCAAAATCCAGATGTGCTGCCTTCTAAACTCTACTGTTTCTAAAACTGAAATATCGAGGGTTGAAGCTGTGAAATGTCAAGTGCTCTGTAATTGGCAGAAGGTATTATTTTGGCTATTGAAGCGTAGTGCTCTGCTTCTGTCCCTTAGGTAACGCCAAGACAGTAAAAATATGTAGCTCTACTTTTTCTTCTGTTTCCATGTCAACTATTTTCCACATAATAATGATTTATACACAGAGTATGTGGTGAGGGTATGTTCAAAAACACTTTTTCCATACTCATTAAAATAATTATATTCTCTTTTTACTGTGGTGTCAGTGTTGCCCTTTTGGTAAAGGATATCCTGAATGTGAGGGCTTGGCCATGTCCAGATTCTCATTAGTACTTATTAATATTCACGCTGACTCTTACCTTCCACAGCTCTCCATCACTAGTCCCTTCATCTGGGTTAGAGAGGTTTCCCCATGTTTCCTAGGAGAGTCAGACAAAAACATGCCATTTTTTCTCCAAATATTCTAAAAATTGGGAGAGCGTAGATCTAAATCTTCTCAGAACAGAACATATACAGTGCATTCGGAAAGTATTCAGTTCCCTTAACTTTTTCCACATTTTGTTACGTTACAGCCTATTCTAAAATGGATTACATTTTTTTTTTATGATCATCAATCTACACACAATACCCCATAATGACAAAGCGAAAACAGGGTTGTAGAAATGTAGCAAATATATACAACCTAGAAAACAGAAAAACCTTATTTACATAAGTATTCACACCCTTTGCTATGAGACTTGAAATTGAGCTCAGGTGCATCCTGTTTCCATTGATCATCCTTGAGATGTTTCTACAACTTGATTGGAGTCCACCTGTGGTAAATTCAATTGATTGGACATTTGGAAAGGCACACACCTGTCTATATAAGGTCCCCCAGTTGACAGTGCATGTCAGAGCAAACACCAAGCCATGAGGTTGAAGGAATTGTCCGTAGAGCTCCGAGACAGGATTGTGTCAAGGCACAGATCTGGGGAAGGTAACCAAAACATTTCTGCACCATTGAAGGTCCCGAAGAACACAGTGGCCATTCTGAAAATGGAAGAAGTTTGGAACCACCAAGACTCTTCCTAGAGCTGGCCGCCCGGCCAAACTGAGCAATTGGGGGAGAAGGGCCTTGGTCAGGGAGGTGACCAAGAACCCGATGGTCACCCTGACAGAGCTCCAGAGTTCCTCTGTGGAGATGGGAGAAAGGGCAACCATCTCTGCAGCACTCCACCAATCAGGCCTTTATGGTAGAGTGGCCAGACGGAAGCTACTCCTCAGTAAAAGGCACATGACAGCCCGCTTGGAGTTTGTCAAAAGGCACCTAAAGGACTCTCAGACCATGACAAACAACATTCTCTGGTCTGATGAAACCAAGATTGAACTCTTTGGCCTGAATGCCAAGTGCCACGTCTGGAGGAAACCTGGCACCATCCTTACGGTGAAGCATGGTGGTGGCAGCATCATTCTGTGGGGATGTTTTTCAGCGGCAGGGACTGGGAGACTAGTCAGGATCGAGGGAAAGGTGAACGGAGCAGAGTACAGAGAGATCCTTGATGAAAACCTGCTCCAGAGTGCTCAGGACCTCAGACTGGGGCGAAGGTTCACCTTCCAACAGGACAACTACCCTAAGCACACAGCCAAGACAACGCAGGAGTGGCGTCCTTGAGTGGCCCAGACGGAGCACGGACTTAAACCCGATCGAACATCTCTGGAGAGATCTGAAATTAGCTGTGCGCGACGCTCCCCATCCAACCTGACAGAGCTTGAGAGGATCTGAAGAATGGGAGAAACTCCCCAAATACAGGTGTGCAAAGCTTGGAGAGTCATACTCAAGAAGACTCATGTAATCGCTGCCAAAGGTGCTTCAACAAAGTACTGAGTGAAGGGTCTGAATACTTATGTAAATGTGATATTTCAGTTTATTTATTTTGTATACATTTGCATTATGGGGTATTATGTGTAGACTGAGGGGGGGGGTGGTGGACAATTTAATCAATTATAGAATAAGGCCGTAACGTAACAAAACGTGGAAAAAGTCAAGGGGTCTGTATACTTTCCAAATGCACTGTACATCACAAATCATCCCTGAGGCCTATGGGTAAGAGCTCACCTCTGGCTCTTCCTCACAGGGTGTTGTCTCCAGGGACATACTGGAGGACATCATGGAGTCTCCCACCTTGTCCAGAGGGGAGGGGGGCTCCCATTGAGTAGTGCCAGTAGGGATGTGCCAGTAGTAGGTGCCTGAGGTGTCTCGAACCCGCATCCACCCAGAGGGCAGGTCTGTGTCCGCCTCAAAGGCTTCCGAGTCCCAGAAGGACTCTGTGTGGAGAGAAGGGGAGGGTTAAAACAAGGAGTATGCTAACGTCGCTTGCAACCTGAGAAGCACTTGTTATGTTAGACTAGACAATAATCATTATTGTTCCAACAAAACAGTCACACAACTGATTTCAACAAACCCACCCTTACCTTTGTTTCCAGTTGGAGGGCTTTCAACAGTGATGTCCTGAGACAGTGCTGGCCAGTTGGTTTCTTCATCACTTGGTGTTCCATTCACGTTAGAGAACAGCAGACAGGGATTTCTAGCCACCCCACCTCCCTCTCTTTCAGCCTCCGCATTACTCTGCTCGGACTCCCTCTCTTCCTCTGTAAGACTGCAGGCCTCGTCATCTGCCTCAGATGGATCTTCCTTCTCTTTGTCCTCTTCTTCGCCCTCACCCTCTTTATCCTCTGCAGACAGTAGAGTGTGGATGAGTAGTGGCTCCTTGAGGATGGTCTTGGACTCTTCTTCCTTCAGGCCCAGAGTCTTGGCGGTCTTGGGAGGTTTGGTCTGCTCCTTGTTCCTCTGCTGCTCCTCCTCGGTGGTGTTATGAGGGGAGAAATCCTCCTGGTTCCCATTCTGGTCCTGGTCCTGATGTTTCTCAGCTACTTTCCTCAGTTGGTTTTTGCCCTCCTTGACCCATTTTGCATTGTTTCCGGCAGTGGATTCTTGGTCACTCCAAAGGCCGCTGTCATTCAATTTGTTTTTCAGCACTTCATCTTGATGTTGGTTGTTGGCTACATGATAAGATACATCATCATCATCATGGCCACCCATGGTACTACTATACAGCAGCTCTGAAGGGAATCGAGAAGGGTATGGTTAGAGAGAAAATAGATAGCTAAGAGATGCCTTTGCCCATCTGATCACTCGAATGTTTAGTTACGAGTCAGTTTAGTTGAGACAAGTGACCTGGCTGGCTAGCCAACTGTTTGACATTGTAACGTTAACTAACCTTAGTTAGCGAGGTAAAGGTAATGTTAGCAAGCTAGCCGCCTAACTAGCGTTGACTCATTAAAGCGAAATTAGAAAATAGCTAGCTAGTAAGATAGGTAGGTAGCTAACGTTAGCTAATGTTAACTGCGCCATCAGCTAGCCACATTATCAATGAGATATGACACAAATCGCTACGCTAGACGGCTAGCTACTAGCTAACGTTAGCTGGCTAGGCCTCTCTAACTAGCTTACTAGTTACTAATTTAGCAAGCAATCAATTACAATTTAAATGCCATGACAATGTCAAGAGCTAGCTACTGTATTATTGCTAATTTAACATACCAGCTATGTGGTTTAAGCTAACGTTAATTCAACTAAAAGGCAAACTAGGTGGCTTCGTTAGCCTCCTTGCTAGCTAGCTAGGTGACCATCTGAAATAACAGGCATCATCCGCCATCAACCCATTATAATATGTCCATAATTGGTACACTAGCACAAAGAACGGCAATTCAAAATGTGCGCTATTAGCTACTAAATCTACTTACTTGTGCTGTGTGTCCTTCGATAAAATATATTCTCGTTATTGTTACATATTTACACCATTATTTATGAAGGCGTAGAGGGGTCATTTATCTGGATTCCCAGCAGATGCTGATGCTGATGCTGCGGTGTTGTGTAGAGTAGTGATTGACGATTTGGTGGGGGCGTACGTCACGAATATGTCACTTGTGTTGCCTCGTAAGGTTCTCTGACTCAACCCTCTTATGATCGCTGATCGGAGTCCACAGAATACATTATCAAAAGAGATTTAAAGAGGTATTTTAGTACTAAATCAATGACATAGTAGACCTAATAAAAAGTAAGCCAATTGAGAACATGTTGGACACAACACGTTGTAGTAAATGCTGGTAATTCTGCCATAGGTACTTTGCTTGTCAGCGCCTCACTGCATGAATAAACTTCCACTATTATGCACCAGATTGAGAAATGCACCATAATAAGATCTTTCGGACTAGATAACCAATTGTTTTTGTGTTTCTTTTTAATATACTTATATAAATTACATACATTTGTATAAGACATGCTCGGTTTTGGCTTTTACCCCGGTGATTCAGCACAAATAAGCCAGCTGGTGGAGGTACAGAAAGAATGCATGTTAAAAAACAAATAAGTATTACATAGCTCAATAAAGACGGAAATAACTCATATCGGGGTACAACAATGCAGTTGAGTCAAAAAGCAAGCAGAAACAAAGTGACAGATTGCATAATATTCATGTTATCCCCTTATTGTCCATTTCATCTTCACTCTCCTGTGAAATGTTAGGAATCGCCTCAAGCATAAACATAGCCACAGAATTCAACAAAGCTGGGAGTTGAAGAAAACAAATCCCAATGATCTGAGGGTGAAATGAAACAAACTATCAATGTGAGCATGTCAGATTTGTTTTGTTCGGCACACATTTTTTTCTTGAGGCAAACCGAAGTTTCGTAGCCGAAGTCTACGCCATTTTCGTTGGTGATTGGTCAACAGTAGGGATTCTTCAATTTCGGGTTTGTTGTCGTTCAACGAGACGACACGTTTTCATGCAAAAAAAATTTACTTGAGAAATACTGCACCAAACATCTTAGATGTAAATTTAGCGACTAAGACCTCTGCAAAAAGGTCAACATTAATTAGATTTCTTGATGTATCTTATATTAATTCACACTATTTTGAGGAAGTGTTTAGGCTAAGTTGTTGTATGGCTATAGAAAAAGGGACAAACAGTAATATTGGCGCTTTTTTTGTTGTCGTTTTTCAAGCAAGGGAGAATGTGCGGCACAGACGTTCGCTTCGCCTAGCCGAGTTCTGGTAGGAGCAAACCGAACCTTATACTTCTGACCTCCCAATCTGTGAAGGTAGTTCCCTCTTTCAACATCCATTGGAATCAAATTTGAATGATGCAACACAAAGTAGCGCACATATAAAAAGTGGTTCTGCTCATTCCCCTGCACTTCCTGAAGAATACTGGACATTGAAATGCTTGTTCGGATAAATAGTCTAATAGCAGGAGCAGTCCTATAACCCTGTTTGCATACATACATACAACATGCCCTTGAAACAACAGAGGAGGAAACAAGCCATACAGCCACACACTTAGTTCCACAAGACAAGCTTCAGGATAATACAGCAACATACTGTTTTCGTAAGAGCTTTCATTATCAGCAATAACAGGTTGCAGGTCACTTTACACAGTGTCTGACCCCTAGATAATGAGACCCCCTCCAGAGGTAAAGAAAGGAAGCAGTGCAACAGACAGATTGTCATCCTGACCTCCACAGGTTATTCAGTCACATATAGAGGCTTGTACTCAGTCCACATGATTAGAACACAACAGTTGGAACAGTCAATTCTTAGCTCCAGCATGGACGCGATGAGAAAGTGACGTAGATGAACGTACTGATAAAAACTTGTCTTGATAAGTCAAGAGATGATAGCAAAAAATAAAAATCATAATCAAGAATAAAACAAGTGTGTCGCCGTTTTCGTTCTCAGAGGCTTAAGTTGCGGTGGCATTGAGGGCAGCGGTAAGTAGTGAGAGTAAGTCTAAGGCATTACTGGTAAACACCACATCTCTGGATTATATGGGAGGCAAAATATCTGGGGTTTAGGAGGGTCATTCAAGGCAGAGCAAAAAAGCAGTTTTCACTTGTCCTGCATTTTCTCCAGGATGGGCACGATCATGTCAAATTTAGGCCTCTTGGCTGGATCTTCGTTCATGCAGATCTTCATGAGCTTGCAGATGTGGGGTGAGATGCCCGGAGGGATGGTGGGCCGCAGGCCTTCAAGGGCCACCTGATGGCAGAACAGAGAGAGAACCATGTCAGAGACACTATGGGAAGGACAAGACTAAACTGAGACTTGTGTTTTGAGATTCCGATGTTGTAACGAATCCTATAACTAGCACCCTGAGCTGCAGCGGTCTCACCTTCATGCCGATCTCCATGTTGGAGAGGTCAGCGAAGGGCACCTCCCTGGTCACCAGCTCCCACAGCAGCACAGCGAAGCTCCACATGTCTGCTGACCGCCGGTTGATCTCCTCAGGCTTCTTCTGTAGGGCTACATGGGCACAGGACAGACAGAGAGCGAGAGAGGATTACACACATAGCACATAGATTCATAGGTTCATAGTTGTAGGAGTTGTATACCTTACAGTCACATAAAGCAAATATTTACATTCTCCAAGGTGAAAAGCAGTAAGCAATAGAGAGAAAGTTGATGAGTGTGTAATGTACCTTCAGGGGCTACCCATGCTGGGGAGTACATCCTGCCTGGACACTGGAAGGAGAACTTGACGTCTGACATGCTGATCCTGGCTGTCATGTCCTCATCGATCTGAAGGAATATCAGGTCATTATAACAGTGGGTCTCAAACACAAAGGCATAAGAAGCATGATTGAAACACCTGACAACTACATCACTGTAGTGAATTTCTACTGTTCATTTGTGTCCGTCTCTCACCATGACGCTCTTGCTGTTGAGAGAGTGCCGAGAGATCATGGGCTCCAGCGTGTGCAGGAAGGCCATCCCACAGGCAATGTCCAAAGCAAACTTCACCGCCTGTGTCTGGTCAACCACAAAGTCTGACAGACAACAGATCCATGTCAGTCATTTTCACACATCAGCTGTAACGTTGTACTCATTCTCTGGTAAGTAGTATAGTCATATGAATAGCTATATCTTTTCCATTTCTTAAGCCTGCACTTTGAGAGAAAAAAAGAAGAAACCCGCACACTGCTCTTGATAGTATCACTGCTCTTGATAGTATCACTGCTCTTGATAGTATCACTGCTCTTGATAGTATCACTGCTCCTGATAGTATCACTGCTCTTGATAGTATCACTGCTCTTGATAGTATCACTGCTCTTGATAGTATCACTGCTCTTGATAGTATCACTGCTCTTGATAGTATCACTGCTCTTTAATAAGCTTTACGTATCCGCCTCAAGGCCTTCGTCAAAGCTTTAAAACAGACGTCCAGGCATATTCTATGAATCAATAACCTTATCTCGATGTACTGTCCCACATTGGAAGGTTTTAGTACAGTGCAGGTTAATGTGGTACTCACTGGTGCCCTGGTGAAGCACGTTGTAGAGGGAGCCATAGGGCATCCAGTGTGTGATGATGATGGGGTGAGGGGCGGGAGGAGACTGACACGCTCCCAACATGGGCAGCACATTGGGGTGGGAGAATATCCTGGGATGGGCCCAGAGGAAGAGGGACACGGGGAATGAGACAGACAAATATACATATAGGATGGGACATATGAGGGACAATCCAAACCAAAATAACTTCCATACAGATCAACATGTCAGTACATAAAAAGGTACAAGAGGAAGACAGACATGATATCCACAGAACAGGAGAAAATACACCTACAATGAACAATAAGCAGGTAAAAAGTTATTACCTGAGTTTGGGATACTCCTCATTGAAGTCTCTGCTCTTTCTGGTGGACCAGTCACGAACCTTCAACACTTTCACCACAACCTCATTCCCCTGCCAGCGGCCTTGCCACAACTAAAGAAACAGAAGGATTGAGACAAAGTTCCAGCACAGCCTCCACAATATACAGTACAACTTCATGCAAAACATATCAGTGTTTCAGAGATCGATCACTTTGTAACAGGCGTCATTGTGGACATCAGTAACAGATAAAACACAACAGCAGTCATGTAGAAACAACACCTCCATACCTCTCCAGACTGGTTCTCATTGATCTTAGCCAGGAGGGAGAGCTGTTTGAAGTCAATGCCCGCTGCTTTGTTCAAAGTGCCGTTACCTGCACGCATTGACGCACAGAGGACAGAGTTGAAGAGCAAAGCTTAAGCCCTAGGTCTGGCAAAAAGCCCTATTATTTCTGCACAATTTAGCACACTGAAATTTCATCAGGCACATTGGGGACTACCAAAGAGACCTCAGTGGGACATTTACTGGAAGTTCATTCATTCCTATGAACTGTGCCTGATATTCACTTCTTATTTTCCCAGAGCATAGTAATGAAAACCTGGCAGCTAGTAAATGGCTTTGTGGCTGTGGGACTTACGCGGTCGAGTTCTGGTGGTGCCTTTCCAGAATGTGTCCTTGAAGGGGACCTTGGTCAAACTCTGGCCCAACTTCTCTGCTTTCTCTGAGAGGGGGGCGAACACAAAGCACACATTGATTAGGTGCATAAGAACAGGGCTAACACACAGATAATAATCACAGTTTTCTTGCCAACAATGGATGGTGCAGGGTAATGGGATTTTGAATACCTTGGAGGGCTTCACGCAGGTGAGGTTTGGCTTTGTCCAGAGGAGTTTCTCCATACTTATTACAGATGTTCACCTGAGCGCCGTTAGTCACCAGGTCCTGAGGAAGACAGACATCAACATAACTCCAGTGGGACATAACAAGCTGTTGTTCCCATAGAAACAGAGACAGTAACCAGAGTAGGCCACCAGGGGGCATACTGACCTCAGCCACAAGGTCCTGTCCCCAGAAGCAGGCGTAATGCAGTGGTGTGTTGCCGTGCTCATTGGCAGTGTTGACGTCTGCTTTGCACTGGATCAGCTAGGAGACAGAACCACAAGATTAGATTAGACACAACACAAGGCTGTCCAGATCCTGTTTGGATTATATACAGTGATGCTAGTAATCCACCTATGGCAGGCCTGAAAAATGATGTATCCTGCCTGCTCACACATTCCAGAGGTATTGTGACATGTCTAATTTTAAACCAAATCATACCCGTGGTCTGCAGCGCTACGAAACCAGAAACCTATCATAGCAGACTTACACTACTTCATTGAATAGCATAAGATTTGAGAGTAACTAGAAGGACCAGAAAGAAAGATAACACTGACTTGATTACCTATGGCAAATCACAGTGTGTGTGTGTGTCAAAGTGTTACACTGACTTGCTTAGGCTTGAGTTGAAGATGCTATGTTGCAACTGGGTACAGTCTAAAAACAATATCCACCCAACACTATGAGAAATGGTGCCAGTGTTTTCTCCCTTTGAAATGAGTGATGTCAGCACTATGACTGACGTCAGCACTGCAACAAGAGCAGACAAGTGTTAACCAAGCAGTGAGTTTGGGTGTTGGGCAGCCATCAACTCTGGTTTAATATGCCATTTAGCAGACACTTTTATCCAAAGCGACTTACAGTCATGCGTACATACATTTTTGTGTATGGGTGGTCCCGGGGATCGAACCCACTACCTTGGCGTTACAAGCGCCGTGCTCTACCAGCTGAGCTACAGAGGACCACATAAGTTTCATAAGTTCCTTCCTGGGCTTTTATAGGGAAAGCTATATCAACCTAAAGAGACCTTAATTTACAAATTATATAATTGACCTCAAGTGTTTCTGTGTCTGTGTGTATGTGTATGTAAGTAGTGTGTGTGCAGTGTGTGTCCACTCCGCCCCACCTTGCCCACGATGTCTCTGTGGCCGTGGCTGGAGGCCAGGTGCAGGGGCGTGTCATCTCCTCGGTTCATGACGTTGATGCGAGCCCCTCTCATGATGAGCATGTCCACCACGCTGGAGCGGCCTTCCCTGCACGCCCAGTGGAGAGGACTGAAGCCATGGTCATCCCTGAGGACAGAATACTGCACCACTTTAACATCACACCACAGACTGTTTACTACTAGCAATGAGGAAAGGGAAATTAAAACATGTTTATTTGCAAAATGACCAGAGGCTAAAAATATGAGACCACACAACCCTGTAATATAACAGCAGTATAGAACAAACTTCCTCGCAGGACTCTTTCCTGCTGAGTAATGGTGTAGGCCTATCTGGATTCTCAGTACTAAAGGATGTGAGATACTGCTACTTACAGCATAGGCCTGTCACTCTGCCTTAGTCAGTGACAGAAACACATGTAAGGACAGTGGCCTGACTGGCCTCAGTGACAGGACAGGAGTGACGCCTCCTCACTACAGCATCCCAGCGATGACCTTGACTACCATAAGTGACAATGACAGTCAACCAGACAGAGCGGCAAGAGAGCAGGGTTAGTGTGTTCAGTTCGATTTAACGTTTGGTACGTTGCGTAACGCTTTGTACTGAATGACGCGTTTCTCGAAAACTTTCTTCAACGTTCTTGAACAGACTTTGAGATATGTTCGCTCTGTTTGGTGGTTGTGGCTTGAAGCAATGTGACATATTTAAAATGGGCAGCGGCCATGCTGACAGCGTTCCCCAACCTCAGCATCTCCAACTGGTCGTTCAGAACAGCACAGGAACCGTTTAATTGAACATTTCACTAAGTTTTTTTCATACTGAACGCAGCCCAGGCAGAGAACGCATGCGTGAAAAGGAAAGCGAAATAGAAAGGGGGCCAGAGAGGGAGAGCTGGACAGCGTATAGTAGTGAGGCAGTCAGGAAAGGGGGCCAGAGAGGGAGAGCTGGACAGCGTATAGTAGTGAGGCAGTCAGGAAAGGGGGCCAGAGAGGGAGAGCTGGACAGCGTATAGTAGTGAGGCAGTCAGGAAAGGGGGCCAGAGAGGGAGAGCTGGACAGCGTATAGTAGTGAGGCAGTCAGGAAAGGGGGCCAGAGAGGGAGAGCTGGACAGCGTATAGTAGTGAGGCAGTCAGGAAAGGGGGCCAGAGAAGGAGAGCTGGACAGCGTATAGTAGTGAGGCAGTCAGGAAAGGGGGCCAGAGAGGGAGAGCTGGACAGCGTATAGTAGTGAGGCAGTCAGGAAAGGGAGACTAAAACAACAGCAGGCCAATCATTCTCTGCAGTCCTTATAAGGGTTGGGGAGACTTCCTTCACCAGGGGCACACACACACACACACACACGACTCCCCAGCTGCTATGTGTTTTGTCATCCTGCATTTCTCTGGCCCCTGCTGCGTTCTCCTGTCACTGGCCTTCATCACCTCAGCCCCCCACCACAGATCCTTCCTTCACTCGCCAAAACTTCTCCACTACCCTCCCTTCTACCACTATCTCCCTCCCTCTTTCCTTCTCTCTTTCCCTCTCGCTCAGCCAGTCAACTCGTAGAGCAACAGCTGGAGAGGAATTTGAAGATGAAATGTTCCATTCTCCACTCATTCCTGATTGTCAGAAGAATTCCATAGGGCTCTGATGAGCTTGTGATTTCTGCCAAGATGTATGACGCTCTGCGTATATATTAAATCATGCTGCACTTGCTAGAAAGACGACAGTGAGAGAGAAAAGTGCTGAATGTTTAGATCTGGTGGTTGAGAACGGAGGGTGAGGGTTAGAACTGAGAGAGTATTGTGATGAAAGCAGCCCCCTTCCTGGAGTCCTAACCCTCCACTTCCACAACAAACACACAGGAGACTGTGTTCCAGGGAAAACAGCATCAATGAGGCCTACAGAGACCCTGCCTTCCCTGACACAAACCATCCCAAAATCTGAGTGGATGACCTTCTATAGATGGGCAAAATCTGTTCTGAGCACAATGTCCTCTTACAGCAGACAATGATCTCAAGTAGGACAGTAATTGAAATCAATGATCCCAGCAGTTCATTCTACGGCTGCACAATATAGATCAAAGCACTTTGGTGAACTGTTGGAATCATAGAAATATAATGACTTATATTAAGAAGTAAAGTGGAAAGCAGCATCGTTCTAGTTTGCAACAATCGGTTGACCTAACAGAACAGCATGCACATTTATATTGAATCTAACAGTGGGGAGGAGGAACTGCACTGCTTGAGTGACAGGGGGCGGGGCTTGGTGTGTGTGGGAAGCAGCCGCGAGGAAAAAAAAGAAGTAAACTATAAAACGGATGTTACCTGCAGCTGAGATGTGTTTCAAAATATTGCACGCGATATTAATCTCATGCGATATGGATATTGCATTTCAATATTGCAATTTCGATGTGAATTCGATTAATTGTGCAGCCATAGTCCATACAGGCCGTTTAAAGTGGCCTAACAACCGCTCAGTGGGTCATTAACCCAGGAGAGCAGTGGTGTTGTGGTGCCTGGAGATGTGGTTATCCTCAAATTCTGACAAACATTTCCCAAATGGCCCATCCGGCGAAGGAAAGGCACCACGCAAGAAAAACTAAATGAGAAACAGTGACATACACTGTGAATGACCTAAAATGATAAATCCCATATTGGTCTTTCACAGTCAGGCCAACCCAAGCTGTACTGTGAAAGTAGGCTAATAGTAGGCCTACTATTGAAACAGATAAATGAATCAGAAATTCACAGGTTTCAGATTTCTCCCCCTTCTCATTTTTCAGATCACTTTTTTTAACCCTCCCGTTGTCCTAGGGTCAAAATGACCCGCCACTGTGTTGAACCAACTTTATTTAATTTTTATATTTTTGGGATCATTTGTGAGAAGGAGGCAGTGAGACTTTTAAGAAAGTATCACTGCCTCCTTCTCACAAATGATCCAAAAAATATAAAAATTAAGTAAAGTTGGTTCAACACAGTGGCGGGTCATTTTGACCCTAGGACAACGGGAGGGTTAAATAGAAAGAACATCCAATTGTGTCGTCTTAGTCCATAACAATGCTTGAACCACATTAGGAGACTACTTTGGAGGTCTGGGAAAACTACATGTAAGCTTCAAGTTTTAATGTCACATGCACAAGTACAGTGAAATGCCTTTCTTGCAAACTCAAAACCCAACAATGCAAGAATCAATAACAACGTAATACAAGAAACAAAACTAGAAATAAGAAATATGAAGAACACAGTAAGTAAGCAAGCATACTATATACAGAGTCAGTTCCAATACCATATTTACAATGTGCAGGGATACTGGAGTGATAGAGGTAGATATGTATAGGGGTAAGGTGACTAGGCATCAGGATATAAGATAAACAGAGTAGCAGCAGCTTGTATGTGAGTGTGGGTGTGTAGAGTCAGTATAAATGTATGTGCATATTATGTGTGAGTGAGCAGATGATGGAGTGTTTGTGTGTATGTCGGAGTGACAGTGTATGTGAGTGTGTAGGGCCTTTGTGAGTGTGCATTGAGACACTGCAAATATTGAAATAAAAGGTCAATGAAGATACAATGTAAACTCAGTTCGTGTAGATATTCTGTTAGCTATTTATCAGTCGTATTGCTTGGGGATAGAAGCTGTTCAAGAGCCTGTTGGTGCCAGACTTGATGCACCGGTACAGTTTGTCGTGCGGAAGCAGAGAGAATAGTCTATGGCTTGGGTGGTTGGAGTCTTTAGTGATTTTCCGGGCCTTCCTACCACACCGCCTGATATAGATGTCCTGGATGGCAGGGAGCTTGTTTAATTACCCTTTAATTAAAGTGCACAGGCACCTAGCACATTTGTTTGGCTAACAGTGTTTCTGTAGCACATTAGATGGAGTTCGCAAAACAAATGGCCACTGGATTGATGCAAATAATCATGATATCATTCTGCCAGGAAGGCATAGGCTACTTTGTAGCTAGTTAACATTTAATTGAGCAGGTTTTTGGGAAAGCCTTTCCCTCTACCAGAAGACTGTTAGGCCTATCATTAGCCTGTTCCTTAATTGTTTGAAACCTGAACCTTTTACTTCATATGATGAGGCATGTCTTACCTTGCATCAAAGTAGCCTATAGCCAAAATCCCACCATAGAAACATGGAGGCAATTTTTTGATAAAGGCTTCCTCATATGCGTTCTCCTGTTCTATTGGTTTTCTTTCAACTTCTTTCATTGTCTAGCAACCAAAGGCATTATTCCTAGTCATATTAGCGACCCATGATAATTGTTGCATCTTTAGATCTCTCCTCTTTCAACATTTCTAGCAGATATTTCCATCTCTGTCCATGAAACCGCTCACGTACTGTGCGCATTTTAGAACGGTGTTTTCCCACAAATTGCATTTAGGAACATTCACACATAGACCTACCGCCATGTGTACATTGCTGTGCCTAGAATGTGAAGAAATAATAGGTTTATCAACATTTGAAGCTAAACATTCTGATTTGTTCCATCAGCCTTGTTAATTGATACGGCGTATACCTCACTACTTTGATACGCATCGTGGGGATTAAGAAGTGAGTATACTCAATGCCCACTGAAGAATACGTGGGTATACGGCATATACAGTGGGGGAAAAAAGTATTTAGTCAGCCACCAATTGTGCAAGTTCTCCCACTTAAAAAGATGAGAGAGGCCTGTAATTTTCATCATAGGTACATGTCAACTATGACAGACAAATTGAGGAAAAAAAATCCAGAAAATCACATTGTAGGATTTTTTATGAATTTATTTGCAAATTATGGTGGAAAATAAGTATTTGGTCACCTACAAACAAGCAAGATTTCTGGCTCTCACAGACCTGTAACTTCTTCTTTAAGAGGCTCCTCTGTCCTCCACTCGTTACCTGTATTAATGGCACCTGTTTGAACTTGTTATCAGTATAAAAGACACCTGTCCACAACCTCAAACAGGCACACTCCAAACTCCACTATGGCCAAGACCAAAGAGTTGTCAAAGGACACCAGAAACAAAATTGTAGACCTGCACCAGGCTGGGAAGACTGAATCTGCAATAGGTAAGCAGCTTGGTTTGAAGAAATCAACTGTGGGAGCAATTATTAGGAAAAATAAGACATACAAGACCACTGATAATCTCCCTCGATCTGGGGCTCCACGCAAGATCTCATCCCGTGGGGTCAAAATGATCACAAGAACGGTGAGCAAAAATCCCAGAACCACACGGGGGGACCTAGTGAATGACCTGTAGAGAGCTGGGACCCAAGTAACAAAGCCTACCATCAGTAACACACTACGCCGCCAGGGACTCAAATCCTGCAGTGCCAGACGTGTCCCCCTGCTTAAGCCAGTACATGTCCAGGCCCGTCTGAAGTTTGCTAGAGTGCATTTGGATGATCCAGAAGTGGATTGGGAGAATGTCATATGGTCAGATTAAACCAAAATAGAACTTTTTGGTAAAAACTCAACTCGTCGTGTTTGGAGGACAAAGAATGCTGAGTTGCATCCAAAGAACACCATACCTACTGTGAAGCATGGGGGTGGAAACATCATGCTTTGGGGCTGTTTTTCTGCAAAGGGACCAGGACGACTGATCCGTGTAAAGGAAAGAATGAATGGGGCCATGTATCGTGAGATTTTGAGTGAAAACCTCCTTCCATCAGCAAGGGCATTGAAGATGAAACGTGGCTGGGTCTTTCAGCATGACAATGATCCCAAACACACCGCCCGGGCAACGAAGGAGTGGCTTCATAAGAAGCATTTCAAGGTCCTGGAGTGGCCTAGCCAGTCTCCAGATCTCAACCCCATAGAAAATCTTTGGAGGGAGTTGAAAGTCCGTGTTGCCCAGCGACAGCCCCAAAATATCACTGCTCTAGAGGAGATCTGCATGGAGGAATGGGCCAAAATACCAGCAACAGTGTGTGAAAACCTTGTGAAGACTTACAGAAAACGTTTGACCTGTGTCATTGCCAACAAAGGGTATATAACAAAGTATTGAAAAACTTTTGTTATTGACCAAATACTTATTTTCCACCATAATTTGCAAATAAATTCATTAAAAATCCTACAATGTGATTTTCTGGAAAAAAAATTCTCAATTTGTCTGTCATAGTTGACGTGTACCTATGATGAAAATGACAGGCCTCTCTCATCTTTTTAAGTGGGAGAACTTGCACAATTGGTGGCTGACTAAATACTTTTTTCTCCCACTGTACATTCCACTACAGGATAGATTATTTCCAGAGGGCTCCCGAGTGGCACAGCGGTCTAAGGCACTGCATCGTCACTACAGACCCCCTGGTTCAATTCCAGGCTGTCTCACAACCGGCCGTGATTGGGAGTCACATAGGGCGGCGCACAATTGGCCCAGCGTCGTCCCGGGTTTGGCCGGTGTAGACCGTCATTGTAAATAATAATGTTTCTTAACTGACTTGCCTAGTTAAATAAAGGTAAAATAAAAATAAAATAAAAAATTCACAGAAAATAATGTTTGTTGAGTTGTCTGAGTTTAGAGTGACAAAAAGTAGCTAACAGCTAACTCTAATGTCTCTGATGTCTCTTCATTGAGCAGAGCAGCCCAAGCAGAGCCGTTGCTATGGATACCCAAAGACTCAGAGCCGCAATGAGCAGAGTGCATGCAGAGCGAGCTGCGCGCAGGGAGCGAATGACAGACAGAGAGGAGCAGCTAATGAATTTCCTAACGGAGGAAGTTCATTCTGATTTTGGGCAGGGCCTTAAATTTGGCAGAAGCGATCGGGCCTGGGTAGTGTAGGGCCTGAACATTGCAGGCATGGGTAGGCTCAGGCTTAAAATTAATGCCTGTGCAGGGCTATGAGTCAGTCAGTGGAGCCAGGAGAGGGGGGTGTCTCCGTCCTTTCCCAGCAGGGTTGCCCAGGCCAGGGGGCTTCAGAGGGGCTTTCTCCTGCCGTATTGGCTGCCCCTCTCCCATCCCATCCCCCTGGGTTACTTCAGGCAGTTCCACCTGCCAACAGGGCTCAAATTGACAGACGGAAGAGCCCCTGTCTACACCCTGTCTGTCTCTATGCTGAGCTCACTGTGAGATCATATGACCCACATCAATGGGCTGACCCAGATTTACTCTACCATTAGTCAATCCACTATATCACACTTGTCTATTTGCACACTGTAGATAACTCACAAGAAACGAGCCATCCACAGAAATGAGAGTCAAGCTACCAATTAAAGAGGTATGATTTGTTTAGTGTCTGACTGTAGCCTACAGTAGGATTAGTTGCAGCTGGCTCCAGTGGGAGATGGGAAGGCCCAGAGGGTACAGCTGGCTCCAGTGGGAGCTGGGAAGGCCCAGAGGGTACAGCTGGCTCCAGTGGGAGCTGGGAAGGCCCAGAGGGTACAGCTGGCGCCAGTGGGAGCTGGGAAGGCCCAGAGGGTACAGCTGGCTCCAGTGGGAGCTGGGAAGGCCCAGAGGGTACAGCTGGCTCTACAGTTCACACCCCAGCCCCGGGCCAGCCCCTCTCACACAGACGTAACGTTGTGTTGGTGATCCTCCCAGACTACTGTCTGCTCTGCCCAGTCAGGTGCTGCGCTATATGGGCTACCACCCTTCCCCCAGGGAATTAAATATAAACAGCATTCTCCGTGACCGTACACAACCCGACCTCCCTCCTCACCAAACAAGGAGCCTGTAACTCATTACCATGGTATGTCACAGCACGGACTGTAGGCCTAACGACAGGTTTTCACCCACAGCAGAACTCTACATTAGTAGTCACCTAGACTAGAGGTTAAACTATAATTCATGTTGAGGATTCCTTCTTCTTGAATGTGCTTCTACTATAGCTACAGATACTAGGCCTAAAGCCATGGTTCACACTCCTTTGCCACCCAGCAGACTGGGGGAACAGTCCACACACACACACACCACAAACAAGGGATTATGAAGAGTGGGGGTTGGGCAGAGCAAGGGAGTCACGTTTGTAATGTTCTGGTGTCGGCTATTTCTATGCTAAGTGGACCAAATCCACTGACTGTCTGAACCACCAGCGTTTACACAGGCAGCCCAATTCTGATATTTTGACCAATTTATCAGCTCTTTTGCCAGTAATTGGTCAAAAGATAAGAATTGTGCTGCCTGTGTAAACGCAGCCAATATTATCTTTAAGAGTTTTCGATCTTCAGTGCAGGACTTTTCACCCAAAAAAAAGATGTACAGTTTCAGTTCATTCGGAGATAGGTGTAAGAGATAAAAGTAGTAAGGTAGAGTAGGCCGAAATGAAAGATTAGACTTCCAAGAAATAGCCTAATGCTGCTTTCCAGACTGCATTTAAAAAAAATGCGTCACTCATTAGCGTACGTTTGTAATAAGCTGGTCCATCATGAGGAAATGTTGAGGGGAAATGAGTGGTACTATCTAATACCACTGGGAGAGGAGTACAGGAAACAGAAGAATGCATGAGAGGAAGGTGTTATGGCTCTGTCACTGCCTGTGCATTCCTTCTGCAACTGCAAAAACTCAGACACAAACCACGTTTCCATCCACACTAAAGTCATCCCATATAAAAGAAAAATCATGAAAGCTGTGATGGAAACTGAAAGTATCGGTAAAATGTTTTTTTAAAACGGCGACAGATAATTTGTTCGTTCGACATGGTGGGATCATTTTGTGTCTGTAAAATTAACTAGATGAAAAATGGCGGTGGAAATGGCTTTAAGCGCAAATATTGATACAATAACCATCATATCGAAGTAAACTTGGAGTCACGCGATGATATGTTGTGTGGTCCTCCCACTACGACTCGGGACAGCATGCAGTTTATTAGGCTACAGATTAAATCAATCATGATGAACGTCATAGGGTGGTGAAAGTGCACGATGATGAGCATGATGCTCCTTTCCAATAAATAGAGGGTTTTATTCTGGTGAAATGATGATCGATGCTTGACTGCCGTTTTACAAATAAATATATTCCATAATAACCTCATCATGTAGACTAGCCTACCCACACAGCCTACCCGCATGATATCTGCATGCCAAGACCAGAGGAGGCACATGTGCTATTTAATGCAACAGTTTGTGACAATACTATCGGTAGATTAGAAAATGCGATGGAAAAACTTTTGATTTTTATGCACTACTTCCGTTTGGTAAAAACACACCACTGGTGGGAAAGCAGGGGCTTGGCAATGGGCATGGTCAGACCGGCAGAATTTAATATAAAACTTTAGTGGCCCCCGATCTTGGCAGTGTAGAGAAATGTTAGAATTTTTAAGCCAATTTCCTGCAATTCTACACACTTCTCCATGGAGCTGAGAGAAAATGTTGCCGTTTTAAAGCAAATTTACTACAATTCCATGCATTTTGCTAAGGCTAATGCTGTGTTCTTTTGCTCAAACATAACAAAATCAACCTATCAAAATCAATACTGTCTAGCTTTTATTTTGGTGATTGTTAGTTCTCAAAGATTATTATTTTCTAAATATTGGTTAATTATCTTTTCTACATACTTTATATCTGGTTTTAGTCGTTTACGTTTGCACAGAAAGTGTTTTACTATCCCGAAAATTATACTGAACAAAAATATAAACGCAACCTGCAACAATTTTACTGAGTTCAAGTTCATATAAGGAAATCAGTCTATTGAAATAAATTCAGTAGGCCCTAATCTATGGATTTCACATGACTGGGCAGGGGTGCAGCCATGGGTGGACCTGGGAGGGCATAGGCCCACTAGGGCTGACTCCATTTAGTCGACAGGCTGTTGGTCGACCCAGATTTCTTTAGTCGAGCAGTCGCTTTAATTTTATTAATGGTGCACAAGACACCGGTCTGATCCGCGCCCGTCTCAGTGGACTAATCCATTGTGGAGGCCGTGGGGATGGCACAGTCCATCGCTCTAAGACATGTGATACTGAAATTGTATATGGTTATATTATGTAAAAATAATGGTGCAACACTAATAAATCTAATATTATCTCATAACAAAGAATTGGCACCTTTCCCTATGTGGCTATGTGCATAATAGCAAAGTTAATCAGCATATTGGGATTGAGAACAATGCGGCGGAGGCAGCAGCAGCAGAGATGAGGAAACAGCCCTTGCCTTAGCCTAATTGTCTAAGAAAATTGAGGAGAGAGGTTACCAACTTAATTCAGTCTATAATCAATAGCCTAACTGTTAAATGTGCCTGGCTTTATACATCATCCATATCTACAGAAATAAGACAGATCTTGCTTCTGTTGCCTGTTTTAGTGTTTGTTTAATAGCCTACTGATTCTGTGAGCACCAAGCATCATGCAACGGCAAAATGTCCGATAAAGCAATTTCACAGATTCGGCTGTTTTTAATCTTTGCTATACTGTAATAAAAGGCTTTAGATGTTTTACTTATAATTGATTTAGTGTTGTTTACACTGTTCCAAACAGGCAGAAAAATATTGTAGTGTAACAGCACCTGTTTGTCACACACATGCACACAGCTCTCGCTCCTATACCCTCCTTTTTCTTCATCTCCTTCTTATTGTTATTATTACAATTATTGTTATGATCATCATTATAATAATAAGGAATGTCGTTATCATTAGTAGGCTTTGTATAGTAGCTTTGTATAACCACCATCGAGCTCTAGGCATAACAGCGCAACCTGTTTAGTCTTAAGCCTATATTTCAATATATAGGCCACTGTATCAATCAATCATTCGTTCATGCAATCACACAGCATACAGAGACATTCATGCTTTGAAATGCAATCAAGCATTTTAGTTTTAAAATAAAAACAACAAAGTGAGCTTTGAATATTTAGCCTAAACAATAAATAAACTGCAATTCACAAATGCATGCAACTGTTTTCAGTCTGCTGTAATAAAGGCTTTATATATATTTTGTTTTGTTAGAACAGACTCTCTGGTACACTTATTTATTTAGTGTTGTTTACATTGTTCCAAATGGTCAGAAAAAGTTATAATATTTTAATCTAACAGCAACTGTAATACTCATAAAACGTTTGCTCCTATACCCTCCCCTTTTCCTGATCTCCAGTAGTTTCCACACCTAAGCCTGACTTTCCCTTTCCCTCCTGAGCAACTAGTACACATTGGCCTGTTTATTGACGGGATTATGATAGGCTATAGGTCGGCCCTATTGGTCACATGCATGCCATGCTTACATGTTTCACATAAAGAGAGCAAGGGTTGAGGGAATAGGGAATGTTTTTCCTAAACAAATTAGGGATTTCGGTAACAGTACTTTTCAGTCAGAAACAAGTAAGAAACTAAATGGCTGAACTTGAGACATCTGTGGCATTGTGTTGTGTGCCAAAACTGCACATTTTAGAGTGGCCTTTTATTGTCCCCAGCCCATGGTGCACCTGTGTAATGATAATTCTGTTTAATCAGCTTCTTGAAATGCCACACCTGTCAGGTTGATGGATTCTCTTGGCAAAGGAGAAATGCTCACTAACAGGGATGTAAACAAATTTGTGCGAAATAAGAATTGTGTGCATATGGGATATTATACTTCAGCTCATGAAACATGGGACCAAAACTTTACATATTGAGTTTATATTTTTTGTTCAGTATGTATATATAAAAATGCTTCACCATCTGGCAGTCCGACGGACAAATCCGGGTTTTGGCGGATGCCAAGAGAACACTACATGCCCAAATTCAGTGCCAACTGTAAAGTTTGGTGGAGGAGGAATAATGGCCTGGGGCTCTTTTTCATGGTTCAGGCCCCTTGGTTCCAGTGAAGGGAAATCTTAACACTACAGCATACAATGACATTCTAGACGATTCTGTGCTTTCAACTTTGTGACAACAGTTTAGGGAAGGCCCTTTCTTGTTTCAGCATGACAATGCCCCCGTGTACAAAGCAAGGTCCATACAGAAACGGTTTGTCGAGAGCCCTGACCTCAACCCCATCGAACACCTTTGGGATGAATTGGAACGCCTACTCGAGCCAGGCCTAATCGCCCAACATCAGTGTCTGACCTCACTAATGCTCATGGCTGAATGGAAACATGTCTCCGCAGCAATGTTCCAACATCTAGTGGAAAGCCTTCCCAGAAAAGTGCAGGCTGTTATAGCAGCAAAGGGGCGCCAACTCCATATTAATGCCCATGATTTTGGAATGAGATGTTCGACCAGCAGGTGTCCACATACTTTTGGTCATGCAGTGTTTATTTAGCTGTGCAGTAAAACATCTGGCTGTGCTTGTGCGGGACTGTTTGCGTTCGCTGCGTACATGGCTAGCTAGCTATACCATGCAGTTTACCTTGCCTGTGGATACTGTTAACATATAACTGTCTCGTCTTCTAGTGTGGACACAGTCATGATGCTTTGGAGGCCAATGACCACAAGAAGCAGATTGGACCCCCGTCTCTGTCAACGTGGCCACTGCCACCCACATCATCACCAGAGGTATGTTACTAAATTACGAGGTGCCAACATCATCTCAGTTACAGCCGGTATTAGTAGAACATGTGAGTATGGCTCTCTCTCCTGACTGTGCTGTGTGTCCCCCTGTCCTCCCCAGACTGAGGACGTGTTGTCAGAGTGCCGGGTGTGGTCAAAATACCAATTAGTGAAAAAAAACGATCAGAATTGGGCTGCCTGTCTTAACGCTGCCACACACACACATTCTCTCTCAGCCCGTCACACACACACTCCCACACATTCGTGTCCTATGTCCAGCCCACAATAATTCCCTGGCTCTTCCCCCTTTCTCTTGTTCATTTTTGGAGGGTTGTAGACCGTTCCCTAGAGGCTTGCGTGTTATTCCTTGTAAGGACATTCAGCATTCCACTACACTCCGTGTCTCACACCTACACTGACACAGAGAAATGGCCTCACAATCAGCTTTACTTTCACAAGCAGTCACTGAGAAAGTGTGGAATAGGGATATATAGGACATGGTGGGATTCAACATTGCGGATTTGGGTGTTTGTACAGTCAACTATAAAAACCCATGTAATCACAGTTATTGCAGGGGCTGAAAGGCCCAGTATGGATGTGTTTTCCCCACTGCGAAAAATATACATCACCCTAACCAATAAGGAGGACTTGACAGGCAATCGGCTAATGGAGAAGGGCCACGTGTGTTCGGTCGGCCGTGTACACTCACACAAATACAATCAATCCATGCATGTGTGTACCATAGGCTACTTACAACAGTATGAACGCAAAACTAAAAAACTAAACTATGAAAGCTGGTAAAAATATCTAGGCATAATGCTCTGTAATGTCTAAGCAAGGTACTCAACAACAATCAAGCCTCTGCATGAAAGACAGAGAAGAACAGCTTCAGAGAACATGCCCTGGGGCCAACAATTATGTGTCTCTATAGTTATATATGGATGCAGAGATACCAGACATGAATATAGAACATTTTAAAAAGTCACCCTACTCCAGAAATGCCTGTGAGTTCCATCAGTGGTGACAAGCCCAGCCGAGCTTCCCTTTACTGAGTCACCCGAGGACAGTTACAGTAGAAGAGGCCAGGTGGCATGTTGAAGCCTGCTTTCTAATGGACCTCCAAATGCAACCATCAGAGCTAGGCTATAGCTTTGCAGTCTATAATAGAGTCAAATGAAAATAGCCACATAAACGAGGCAGGAAACACCAATTATTTGTTGTAATTGTTGCATCTTCTCTTGGTCTTTGCCCGGTAACCTAATAGAAATAACAAGTTAACAAACAGATTTCAGGGCAGTGGTCATGTGAAAATATATCCAAGACATCCTTTTGCTTCATTTAAAAAGTTCACATTCCAGGCCAAGTCACGTGACCGGAAAGAAGTGGGTTCAAATCTCAGGTCACGATCACAAAGAGTTGGGGAGTCGGGCTGGCTGGGAGCCCAGCAATAAACAACCGTCACAGTCCTCGACGACAACGTCAAAAGAAAGACAATGACTGTGCAATTAATTACCCAGCAATGTTTGCCATCAGCTTTTGATGTACGAGTAAACCAAAACAGATCCATGTCCTCTCGTTGTACATGGGATGATGTGGTGGGTCTCTGTACATTTCTGGAAGCTTTCCCATTTCAGTTGTGTGGAACTAATTATCAGCACACAACTCAAGGCTCATAACGTCACAGGGGATTGGCGAAGAACAGACATCAAATTATTTATTGCCTTTATCTGAATCCCTCAAATGACTCCTCCAAGCAACTGTGTCATTGGTGTATTATGACATCTAAGGGTGTGTCCAATAGAGATGTGACGTCCTTATAGCTGGTCACAAGCTTCTGTGATGCAAGAGATAGGCCTACATACATACATTATTCTGAGACTTGATACTAATAGCAGGTGATATAACATTCTTGTACATGCAATTCAACATCTGAAACAGTTTTTGTTGTTTTTGAGAGGCTCTGAGCACACAAAAAAATTATTTTAAAAAGTACTGAAAAGTTAGACTTACCCCTGATTGAGGTCATTCTCTGTGTTGTCCAACCATAGGCGAACAGCTACTGCGTTGCCTTCCCGGCACTGGGTAAAAATATCATCCATGATGCCTCACTCTGCTTCTTCTGTTAACTTACACTCTGAGAGGCGGTGATGGGACTGGAGTGGGAGGACTGGGATACACAAGGGAGGCAGCCAAAGGAATTCAGGGGTGGCCTGGAGTGCATTCGTCCCTCAGAAAGGAGAGAACAGCTACAGTCAGGGACACGACGGGAGACGTCCAACTACAGTCAGGGACACGACGGGAGACGTCCAACTACAGTCAGGGACACGACGGGAGACGTTCAGCTACAGTCAGGGACACGACGGGAGACGTCCAACTACAGTCAGGGACACGACGGGAGACGTCCAACTACAGTCAGGGACACGACGGGAGACGTCCAACTACAGTCAGGGACACAACGGGAGACGTCCAACTACAGTCAGGGACACGACGGGAGACGTCCAACTACAGTCAGGGACACGACGGGAGACGTCCAACTACAGTCAGGGACACGACGGGAGACGTCCAACTACAGTCAGGGACACGACGGGAGACGTCCAACTACAGTCAGGGACACAACGGGAGACGTCCAACTACAGTCAGGGACACGACGGGAGACGTCCAACTACAGTCAGGGACACATCGGGAGACGTCCAACTACAGTCAGGGACACAACGGGAGACGTCCAGTTATAGCTACACTGTGGAGATCCAGTGGCACAATCCTGAAAAGACAAACATGAGAAGGATGATAATCGACAGATATAACTACAGCCCAGGATTCCTCTCTGCTTTTAAATACATTCTAAACATGATAGGGAACACTGTTCCAACTGCCATCCAATGTAATCTATAGACTAAAAACTTTGATGAGGTCACAACAGGCTTTCGGGGCCCTCATTCGTTTCATAGCACTGCAGCACAAGGATAATTTAGTTGCAGTGTAACATAAGACCTCTCAGGCATTGTGCAATCCAGTCTGAAACTCTACATCAACTGCATTGGGTGTGCAGTAGAGCCAAGTTGTTAATTGTGATTCACCCAACGCTGTAACCCACTACACTGTCTGAGTTGATTACCACTACTGACATTTTGAAACCCTGTTTGAACAATTTCCTGAAGGCTTCTCAGTACTAGAAGAACACAAACTGTAGAAGAAAAAAAGTAAATGCATATGCGGTACTGTGGGTTACATAGCTAGGATACATATTTTTTTTCATTTTGGGTTTAGTGAAGACTGATTTGAACTTCATAGATTAATTTATTGGTAAAGCCAAGCAATGGTCATATATTAGTGCTAAAGAACACTTATCCTCGATATTAGCGTACATGCATACAGATAAATAAACCATGAGACCCATGACATGAGCAGTGGCTGTCAGGGAGCATTCCAAATGCCATTTGACTAACGTTAGCTAATACCATAAAGCTAACACATTTTCTAACTAGGGTTCTTGCCCAAAATGTAATTACTAGTGAGCTATAGCCATATACACTAGCTAGCCTAGTTAGTGATGCACGACTTATTTGGGATGAATCAAAAATAAAACTCGGTGCTGTGTACGTTACTGTGTTCAAGCAAAGTGTATTCTTGTGTACAAATAACTACCATTGTGGACACTGACAACAACAGCTACAATCAGGAATTATTGGCCAAAGGCAGCCCAACATGAACTTGTCAGAGCTAGGCCCGCTACTCCTACCTGGCTTTCGAGCTAGCTTGCTAACTAGTAGCAGTAGTTTTAAAGTTTTGAATAATCGCGTAAGATAATAAGGTGCTGAAAAAGTCCAGTACTATACTGTGGCTAGTTACTGTACTAGGTACCTAACAACTTTGTTCAACAACAATTTATACAGTTACATTATCAAGCCCCGTAAGGAGGGAGACAGTTGAAGACGTTTCAATCAGTTCGCTAACGTTACTATTTGACGCTTTGGTCACTGTCCTTTTCCCCTCTCCTTCTTCTTTGACTTCAGACCAGACGCCTGAAGCTAGCAATCTCGATAGCAAACAAACCGGAGAAATTGAACGATTTCTAAGTGTGAATACATCAGTGTAAAGAGAAAAAGACAAATGTATTTAACTTACCCGATGGATTCAAACAGAATTGATTATTCCACTGAGAAATAGTTCGTTAGATTGGGATTGAAGCAGACTGTCTCCATCCCCAGTGTCCACACCCTCGTCGTCGTTTTACGTGGGAGAGGAAAAATATTTGCCCTCGTCCACTACCAAATTCTCCATACTAGCGCCCTCTATCGGAAAACAGCCACTTCTTTCCTGTATGAAGATACATTTCCGTTCCTCCAGGGCACGTTTTTCCCTCAGGTTTCAATGACACCTTTATTCTAGGCCTAGCTGTATATTTTCATTTCACCGACCCCAACATGAAAACAAACATGTCCAATAAAAAGGCTCTGCTGGGGGGTCCTCCTGTGGGGGAAGACGAGAGTTTGAGGAGAGGACAGTGAAAGTACCTTCCAGACTTAATGATGAAAAGCTTTTTTTGTCTGTGGCCATGCATCTTGGATAGTAATTCAAAATATAGGGGAAACTTCAAGATAGTAAGGAGTTTTACGCTTTGAGAATTAGTGCTGAGGTATGTCATAAATAACTTCACTGTAAATGCAATGCCTCGTAATTTCCACTAGGTGGCAGTATAAACCAGCTTTTCTCTACAGTGATAGGCAGATGAGTAGAAGAGGCAGAGCCCCCAAGCTGCCTGCAGCCTGTAAGATTCATTCAAAGAGTTGAAAGATTTAAAAAAATATGACATTTCATTCTGCTTGTCTCCTTCTCTCCAGGGGTTTAGGGGTGTTCCACTGTGTTACATTAGAATATATTATGCCTCAGAAATCAAGGCTACAGGCAGTCTTAATGAGGATGAGCTACAAAGTCACAAGCTCACTAATGAATTTGCTAATTTAGACACATTTACACTTTTTCTCGCTTGCTGAAAAACACACATACCAGACTGACTGCATAAATTTGACTCGCTCGAATGCACCGATTATCTTTGGTTGTAGGACTGACCAGGACAGAACCTCCACACTTGGGGGATGAAAGCCTCTCTGTAGTAAACTGAGCAGAGGATGCATTCTATTATCTGCTGATTCAAGGACGGTTACAGAATCACATACGTATTCATTTGACAATATTTCAACGAATATACTTTTTTGAATAGGTCACCGTTTTGCCAAATTAGCACATTGGAAATCAGTAAAATAACCACAGAACCTGTATTTTCAATTTAGGAAATAAAAGGCTCAATACATTTCTAAAGCAACATTTATTTTTATTTTTTAGATTTTCTTCCTCTGTTCCCATTCCTCAAAGAGGGAATATGTGGGTTAATACAGAATCCAGCACTAGTAAGAGCGTCTGCTAAATGACTAAAATGTAAATGTAGTAGAGATCCTAATTCTATGGCAACTCCTCTCAGGTGCAGTGGCAGCATATACAGTCATTGGGCGGATCACTTTTGTCAAGTCCATGACCATCATTGGTCACCGCCTTTCAAAGTGTGTTGCATTATGGGGATAAAAATGGTCTAACTTGCACCTACATGTGGACTGCGTGAACTTTACAAAAATCATGTGATCAAAGGTCAAGAAGGTTTGACTGCAGTCGACTACAAGTTTCTGCAGTTGCTCTTCACCAACTTCCTCCTGCAGCCAGCATTGTGGGAGGCTCTATTGTCAACCAATCATTATGGTGTTTTTGTTTGACCCACATGACCAAAGACATGATTGAAACCGGAACCAACTTTGCCGCGATTCATGTATTCAGTGGATATACAAATTAATGTGATATTTGATGTTCTCTCTCACTAATTGATTGTGCAATCTACACACATATGATTTCAGTTTGTGAGGGTGTGATATGGGGGTTAGAGACATGTTTATTTCAACATTATAAAGACAAACTGGTATAAACAAGGGCAACACTACCAGGTTGATCTGAGCCTTGCCTTTGGAAAACCACTTTAGTGACCTACTTTCGGCTGTCGCAGATGCACCACCCCTAGGTGCTTTTAGCAATGTGGGTGCATCTACATACACTAGCAACATCCCCCACAAGTTATTCCTTTCTTATCCACATATGGCACACGTGCAGGACTTTTATTTTGACATGAGGTAAGCAGAGGGGAAGTTGAAGGAAGACTTTCATGGCAGCATCAGGGCGATACATGTAAGGGAGCCATGGATGACGAACCATCAAACAGGCAAAGCGTCAATACAGGACTAAGATTGAATCGTACTACACCGGCTCCGACACTCGTCAGATGTGGCAGGGCTTGCAAACTATTACAGACCACGAAAGGAAGAATAGCCGCGATCTGTCCAGTGACACGAGACTACCAGACGAGCTAAATTACTTCTATGATCGCTTCGAGACAAGCAACACTGAAGCATACATGAGAGCATCAGCTGTTCCGGACGACTGTGTGATCACGCTCTCCATAGCCGATGTGAGTACGACCTCTAAACAGGTCAACATTCACAAGGCCACAGGGCCAGACGGATTACCAGGACGTGTATTCCGAGCATGCGCTGACCAACTGGCAAGTGTCTTCACTGACATTTTCAACCCGTCCATGACTGAGTGTGTAATACCAACATGTTTCAAGCAGACCACCACAGTCCCTGTGCCCAAGAACACTAAGGTAACCTGCCTAAATGACTACCGACCCGTAGCACTCACGTCTGTAGCCATGAAGTGCTTTGAAAGGCTGGTCATGGCTCACATCAACACCATTATCCCAGAAACCCTAGACCCACTCCAATTTACATACCGCCCCAACAGATCCACAGATGATGCAATCTCTATTGCACTCCACACTGCCCTTTCCCACCTGGACAAAAGGAACACCTACGTGAGAATGCTATTCATTGACACAGCTCAGCGTTCAACACCATAGTGCCCTCAAAGCTCATCACTAAGCTAAGGACCCTGAGACTGAACACCTCCTTCTGCAACTGGATCGTGGACTTCCTGACGGGCCGCCCCCCAGGTGGTAAGGGTAGGTAACAACACATCTGCCACACTGATCCTCAACACG